AAAGAAAGAAAGAAAGAAAGAAAGAAAGAAAGAAAGAAAGAAAGAAAGAAAGAAAGAAAGAAAGAAAGAAAGAAAGAAAGAAATCCCTGGATGGATGGATGGATGGATGGATGGATGGATAGATGGATAGATGGATGGATGGATGGATGGATGGAAGGATGGAGATAGGTAGAGAAAGAGAGAGAGAGGTGGAAAGAGACCCATGTATGTATGTATGTATGTATGTATGTATATGTATATGTATATGTATGTGGATAGATAGATAGATGATAGAGACAGATGACAGATAGCTAGCTGGAGACAATGACAGATAGATAGATAGATGGATAGAGACATACATAGATAAATAGATAGATAGATAGAGAGAGAGAGAGAGAGAGAGAGACAGACAGACAGACAGAGATCCCTGGATGGATGGATGGATGGATGGATGGATGGATGGATGGAGTTAGGGAGGGAGGGAGAGAGAGAGAGGGAGAGGGAGAGAGATATCAAAAAAGACTCATGTATATGTATGTATGTGTATGTGGAGAGAGAGAGAGAGAGAGAAAGAGAGAGAGACCCCTTGATGGACCTTGCTACTCTTGGCGATTCTTTCCAAGGGGCCCCTCCACCAAGAGCGAGTCCCACCTGGCAGAGTGAAAGTGGTTCCTCATTGTAGGCGGGAGGGGTCTTAAAAGGCAGCTCTGCCGATCAGCCTCCGTTGGCACGTTTCCAAGAGGCAGCCGGGCCAATGAGCGAGCGGGAGGGGGGGGCCGCTTACCTGGAGCGTCAAGGAGAACCGAGACGAGCCAGTGGGGGCAGACCTCCTCCAGGACGGAGCAAAACTCCCCCACAGCCCCGGGACCTTTGCAGCTCAGCTTCTCCAGCAACGAGGCGGCTTGCTCCTCGCAGGAGACCACCTCTTGGTATTCCTCCCAGGAGAAGACCCCCTTGCAGACCAGAGGGGACAGCACTTTCTGCACATCCAGCTCCTCCACGATCTTCTCTCGCTGGTTGCTTAGGATATCGCCGAACCGGCGATGCCAATCCCACCTCTCCTTCTTCGCCGAGTTATTATAAAACCGCCGCCGGGCCGGCAAACCAAACATTTTCGCTGTGCTAAAAATAAGAAGGAGGAAAAGAAGAGGAGTCTTAAGTCTGCCTTGTCGTCGGCTGAGCTGGTTTCCCCCCCCCCCCAGCAGGCGGGTGATTCACGAGAGTCAGCACCAGCCGAAGCACCTGGCCGGCCGTCTCCCAGCCCGTTTACACCCCCCTCCCCATGCCACGGGACGACATCGACACCCAGGGCCGGTGGCAGACCCCTAAGAGGATTACCCAGGCTCATTAACCCTCTGGAAGCAAGAATAGGCCTGGCCAGCGGCCTAATGAGGAGGCGCAGCAAAGGCACGGAGTTATTGGCCACACCTGGAGTCCTGCATCCCGTTTTGGGCACCGTGCCATTAAAAAGATGGTGAGACTCTGGAAAGAATGCAGAGAAAGAGCAACCGGGATGATTGTAGGGGACTGGAGGCCGAGACATACGATGAACGGTGGCAGGAACTGGGCCTGGCTGGTCCAGGGAAGAGAAGGACCAGGGCAGACAGGAGAGCAGCCTTCCAATATTTGAGGGTGGGGGGGGGGGTTGGACTAGATGACCTACAAGGTCCCTTCCAGCTCTGTTAATCTGACTTTAATCTGATCTTAATGAACAAAAGGACCAGGGGAGACAGGAGAGCAGTCTTCCAATATCTGAGGGGCTGCCACGGATAGGAGGAAGGGGGTCAAGCTATTTTCTAAAGCACCTGAAGGCCAGACAAGGAACAATGGATGGAAACTGAACAAGGAGAGATTCAACCTGGAAATAAGGAGAAACTTTCTGATAGTGAGAACCATCAATCCATGGAACAGAAGTTGCCCTCGGAAGTTGTGGAAGCTTCATCCCTGGAGGCTTTCAAGAAGAGACTGGACTGCCTTCTGTCAGAAATGGTGTAGGGTCTCCTGCTTGGGCGGGGGTTGGACTAGATGATCTACAAGGTCCCTTCCAACTCTGTTAATCTGTCCTTGGGACTTTTAGGTGTGGCATCCCAGCAGAGGCACCTTTGACTGAAATTCAGATTTATTGCAAAGCCCCGAAGATTCCCTGAAGAGGTATGAAACCAAGAGAGGAGGACGCAGCACCTTCGATTGCCCAGAATCCAAATTCCAGCTAGTCCTCTCGACTTATAACAGTTTGTTTAGTGACCGTTCAAAGTTACAGCGGCGCTGAAAAAGTGACTTACAACCGTTTTTCGCAGCATTTCTTTTTTTCTTTTTTTTGCAGCATTCCCACAATCAAAATTCAGGCCCTTGGCCACTGGCTTCGTATTATTTATGACGGCCGCAGAGTCCCAAGACCAGATTCACGTAACAACCGTGTTACTAACTTAACACCTTTCTTGATTCACTTAACAACCGAGGCAAGAAAGCTCATCAAAAGGGGCAAAACCAGAGGTGATGGTATTCAGCCGGTTCTGACCTGTTCTGGAGAACCGGTTGCGGAAATTTTGAGTAGTTGGGAGAACCGGCCAATCCCACCCCTGACGGGCCCCGCCAACCCCATCTCTTCTCCGCCTCCCATCGAGTCCCAGCTGATTGTCTGGGTCTCCTTTGGTTGCCCTGCCCAGGAGAATGGAGCTGGAAAGCAGGTTAGTGGGGTGGGGTAAGAATGGAGATTTTGCAATAATCTTCCCCCCAGGAGTGGGGAGGGAATGGAGATTTTACAGTATCCTTCCCCTGCCACGCCCACCAAGCCCAAAGAACTGGGAGTAAAAAAAAATTGAATCCCACCACTGTCCAAAACTCACTTAACAAGTGCCTCACTTAATGTCAGGGCTCAATGGTGGTCATAAGATGAGGGCTACCAGTATAATTCAAGTGGCAATTCGAGATTATTATATGTTCTTTCAGGGTTGATTTATTTATCTCTGTCTATTAAGGCATTGTGTTTAGCACATTTACAGCACAAGAAAAAACGTGGTTAGCTCTCCTCTGTGTCTATTTTCTTCTTCCAAAGGTAGAAACTTGAAATCTCTAACAATTAACACTCGGGAGTCCTTAAGGTTTAAGTGTGTGTGTTCAATCAAGGGGCGCTTGTTAAAACAGACTTTATAAATACTACCTACTTAACGAATTAGGATTAAGGGGAGAGAATCGCACAATTCCTGACAGGGGTAATTAGGCACCAAGCAAACACACTTGCAAAAGCTGTCCCACCGGAGGTAGAAAGGCCGACATATGAAAATAAGATTATTATTATTTTTTCGCGGTGCTTTGCGTTACGTTTTTACAAAATGACACCTCCTGTCCTCACAAAAAAAGACTACCTTTGGCCTGGGCCAGATTCCTCTTCTAAGCCTCTGATCTTCCTCGCACATAAAATGCACATATGTGTACATATGGGCGGGGCTCTGGGGACACGCCCCCTCATGGCCTGCAAGCGGCCCCGCCTACTTTCCTCCTCGAAGAGGTACATTGTTGCTGCGGCTTCCTTCCTTTTTTCCTTTTTGTTGTTTCCCTGCTTCCTCTCGTCTTTTTCTCTCTCCTTCCTTCCTTCCTTTTCTCTCCCTTCTTCCTTCCTTTCTCCTCTCTCTCCTTCCTTCCTTCTTTCTTTCCTTCCTTCCTTCATTCATTTCCCCCCTCTCTCCTTCCTTCCTTCCTTCCTTCCCTCCTTCCTTCCTTCCTTCCTTCCTTCCTTCTTCTCTCCTTCCTTTCTTTTCTCTCCCTTCTTCCTTCCTTTCTCCTCTCTCTCCTCCCTTCTTTCTTTCTTTCTTTCTTTCTTTCTTTCTTTCTTTCTTTCTTTCTTTC